CATAGTCTGATGTTCAGATTTCTGAGAGGACATTGGTATTCTGCCGCTGCTTGTGTACATTGTGGACTCACAGCTGAGTTGGTGGGTTTACGAATACCTCCAGAAAGTAATGCGAAATAGCTACCAGTTGCCGAATATCTTGAGAATGGCCAAGGATAACTGGTGGGGATATATCCCGATGGACTCTGCTCTAGACTTGGACTATCTTTTTCTGAAATGCAATCGCTTACAGGATCAAGAATGTTGAAGACTCTGCCCGAGGAGTCTGCATCTGGAAGAATAAGCGGTCGATGAAAGTAGTTGACTGGTTTGGCATGCTCCTAAGTGGACTATAATCAAGGTATCATAAATCTGTTGCAGTCTGCACACTAATTGCAGATTCACAGTCACTCATCATTCGACAGTTGCAATGAAGTAATAATTTATCATTTCAGTCACCGGTTCGCTGACTGGTTGCTTGCCCCTCAACAAAATCGCGTCTTAGGATTCCATTTCGTCGCCTTTCAAGTTAACATCCTCAAATGGCCATATAGCAATTGATATTGAACAATAACGACAGACATGCAAGTGATGTTTCTTTCAGTATGATGTCCCTAAGCACGGAAAGAAGGCTGCAACGTCTGTAGCAATCGCCTAGGCTATATATTCATCTAAACTTTTGAAAATATATCTTGAACACAACTCCTACCCTGTACAAAGTATGACAAATAAAACTGAGATGCAGCTAGTCTTCAGTGTATCATTTATTCGTTTCAATTAAGAGGAAATTGTGAATGATGGTGAACGATGCTGAATGTGAATGTCAATTCCACAGTCTGACACGTTAATACAAACAAACGTTACTGTTTTAATATGGGCTTTTTACAACATTGCTTCCAAGTAAGATATGGCAAGTAGGTTTTGGGAATTTTTCCACCCAGTAAGGATGTATTGAAGAGATTTGAGAGCTGTAAAATTGCTTGTTTATATTCATGTCCTTTACTCTTCTCCCCATTCTGCCGTGGGTTTCCATTTGTCTCCACTTTTTCTTGTTCATTTGTTACGTTCGTAAGTGCAGTAAAAGAGATTTGTTTACTTCCGTAACTTAAAATGCCATTTCTTCATTGCAGAGTGACATGGAGGAGCTGATGAATCAACTGAAAGAAGTTGATGAAAAAGCAAAGAAAGCTACATTAGCTTCAGCAAGAATGTCTGAGGAGATACAAAAAGAACAAGAACACTCCCAGCATCTTGAAGAACGAAACAAATCTTTGGAACAACAAATTACGGTAATGTGGCAATATAAAAACAATAAGACAGGTGTATTGATTGATTTATAGCAAATGCATAATCGCTTAGACGATGCTGAAGCGAACGCAGTTCGAGGTGGCAAACGTATTCTAGAAAAACTCGAGATGAAGGTATGTCTGCATTTTATCAAAACATTTTTTATATCTACTGCAATGGATCCAATGACAATGTTAGTGATCATTCACTATATGTCATTCAGTACTGAACTGCTTTACTACATTTCATAAACGTCAAATCCAGAGTATTGGTGAAGATGATCACAAAACAGTAGGAGCACCTCTACCAGAAGCGTTTCATATTCGTCTCTCCGTTTTAGGGATAATCAGTACTGAAATACAATTGATATTACGGTTAATGAATCAGTAAAATGATCAACTAATTATTACCTTAACTGTATGGAGTGCAGAATTGAGTTTCTCATAACTTCATGTGCTACAATGTCAGGTTTTTCAGTGACACATTTTGGCAATTAAATGAAGAATATGCGTCATTAAAGGCATCGGCCATCTGTTCCGGTGGAGTTCAGCGAAATTAGCTAACAGCCTGAAGCATTTAGCCAAAGCTGACGGTTGCATTTAGGAGTGCAGAACTATTTGCCCAGTAGAAAGAAACGATCGATCGATATATACTTTTCGTAATTGCATCGAATTAGTAAACTTAAGCATAGTTCCTTGAAGTATCACAGACCGAATTTACATAGCGAATATGTAGCGATATCGGAAGACGGAATTTTGAGGTAAAATCTTGGAGAGGCACGTAACGAGAGATCCTTCTCGGCAGTATGCTTGTCGACCTGGCGACAATAAAAATCTTTCATTTCGCATTTGTTCTAATAGAGTTGCGCGCAACTACAGTAATATGCTTTTAAATGAAACACAGTAGATCATCGTTTTAAACATTTGCATTTAAGGTACCTTCGAACGACATAAAACTCCTTGTAATCTAATCTGTATTTTATTCAGGCAAAAATAAACAATCATAAATAAAAACAGAAACAATATATAGCTATATAGAGAAATTGCTATGTAAACGTAACGAACTAAAGGATATCCGTACAAGTTACAGTTCACAACACCACCACTTTGAGGAGTGATTCTTGTGAGAAATAACAATGTACATAACATCGTCGGTCGCTGAATAGCTCATGAATCTCTGTCTCCTTAATTACCACGTTTTCGGCTTCGATCCTTAGTTCTGTTCAATAACAACTGGTCCGGCTTTATCTGCCTTTTTTTGCCCTGAGAATCCTAGAATTTGTTCTGATCCTACAAATTTCTCTTCATTGCTGATGGTGAATGTGAAAGTTACAACACCACGTGATCAAATATGACAAATACATGCCGTTGCCTCTGAGCATTTGTTTGCAGTTTCTATGTCATAATCTAGCCCTGAAGGTACGTTCAAGAAATGGTATTGAGGAGAGCGTGTTCTGATTAGCCTCAGAGTCTTGTCATCAGAGTCTTGTCTGACCATCAGCGTTTATGATAAGGTGATTCATATTGGTTAGAGAACCGTTTCTTCAGAGCTTAATATCAAGATCAACTCGGATGCTCCTACTTGCTATGCAAGTACATATTTTAGGTGTAATATTAGGGTTGAGAATACTTGAACTGATTAGGTGACTAGTCTTAATGGATGCCAATTGATGCAGATGTCGTAAAATCTCATGCTACGAATACCGAAGAGATGATCAGCATAAATCTAGAAAATAGTTAGTGATTCGTGATTATACGACTGGTCAACCCATCATTAGCGTCCTAGATTATGAAAAAACGATATCAGTATGTTTTCCCCAAGGGACTTCAGCGAAACTCGCCCATAATCTCAGCATGAAGTAGCAGGAGGAAGTATATGACCAGAGCGCTTAATGCTCAATTTACAGGTGCGAGATCTGGAAAACGAGCTTAACACGGCTCAGCGATGCTGCCAGGAATCAGAGAAGGATCGTCGAAAGTACACACGTGAAATTAAAGAGTTACAATACCAGGTATGCGTGGAGGTGAGTCAAAATTTGTGCTTGCATTCCGCAAAGTTTAGGTCGCAGAGGACAAGAAAAACGAGGAACGCCTTCAAGACTTGATCAACAAACTGCAACAAAAGTTGAAGGTGTACAAACGTCAAATGGAGGAACTGGTATCCACGAAAATTGTTCTCTTCAGTTTGTTCTTAAAATCAGCTGATTTTCAGGAACAGACGGCTTCGTCGAATCTGTCGAAGTATAGACAGGTGCTGACACAGCTGCAAGATGCTGAAGAGCGAGCAGACATGGCCGAAAACTCGTTGGTTAAGTATCGGAGTAAAAGTCGACTGAACCTTTCATCATCTATTGGAGGAATATATCACTCGGTAATCATAATTTTTGGTTTTAATTTGAGGCTAGGATTTGCAAACAAATGGATTTTGAACAGCGTTAATATGACTACTCACAAAGTATTTATTTGTATGCTCCTTGTGTGCAAAATAGATCAGCAAAACCACTTGCAACGCGACCCTCAGCACTTTTCCCACGGATAATATAGTTGGATTATATAGAAGACATGACATTGACCCGTCTTGGAATACAGGCTACTGAAGTTGCCCATTCGGCAACGAACTGCTACCTGCCAAGATACCGTCGAAGGACGCCACCCCTGCCACTTCCAAGCAGTCATGGGATTGGAAAACGAATGAACGAACAAATGAACAATGGAATGAACGAATGAATCAGGAGATGGTGAATCATTTCTACAGTTACAGCAAATTCGTCTCTCGTTCGCCACACACCGTGTTCAATTTACAGTAATTTACTAGCCTATAAGAGTTGGTAAGTTTCGTCAAATCTATGTCGTAAAAGATGAGCAACATTAAATATTGTATGCACGGACAGAGGTACTGATTCGTTGTTTGAATAGCATTTAATGGTCTCGCTTCCTGATCCATAGCTCAAGCAACAGTTAGCAATATTGAGGTAAATCTTTGACTCGTAGACATATCTCGAGCCACACGAAAACGCTGTTGTTAGGATAAATCGTCATTTCTGAAGCTGTCTATGTCAAATTTAAAATACACGACAAGTCTTAGAAATTCGTGCCAACTCGTACCAACTCAATGCGTGAGGTGATCTGTCATCACTTGACCAATGTTACTTTGACCCCTACCAAATGGTGAAAGGTCGTAATAACCGTTAAGTGGTGGTGGTTATAGTAGTGCCCAAAGAGGTTGCACTGAGTCATAGAATGATATCCAGTATTTCGGTTGTTTCCGATTCATCATGGTCGAATGACATTATCGTCATTGTTATTGTTGCATATGATATGTTACTTATTGCTGCAAGCTGTCAGGTATATCTCCCGGTTGCGAATATTGGAACACTTCCAGGTTTGGCGGTCAGGTATGATGCTGCAATTATTAAGCAGCCATGGATAGGCAGCGGTGAGCATTATTAGGGCAAAGCTGGGGTCGGTTCCGGCTAACCTATCTTCCATTAAATCGCTAAGTGTAAATATTGAAAAATGATGTCTGACTGTGACTTTATTTTAGCAATAAACTTTCAAACTTTTATATAACTCTATGACGAAGCGAGAGTGATCCATCTGAAATAATGTCATAAATGTGGCCCCCGCCTCGTGACTGAACTCGCGAAAGTCAAAGGTCACAAGATACAACTTCATAATAAACCAAATTGCATCTAGGGCACGTCTGTATCAACCAACACCATGAAACTCCATGAAAACTAACCTTAACGTATTTTCCTTTGATATTTTGGCTGGCGCTGGAACCGACGCTCACGTGGATAACAGTGCGGTTATCCAGGCGAATAGTACGTGATCTGGAACAGTGCTTAAATGCTGTTCGGTCATTTCGATCGCCTCTTGCAATGAGTATACTTTACTCGACCCTAAGAGTCGACTTCTCATAAGCTGCACCCTGTCGGCTGGGAGACGGGCATTGCCTCTCTCTCGGAACTCCGCATCTGTCTCGTAGGATCAAGGTCTGCGAAAGTTACTTTTTCGCAACAGCATCACTGGCTCTGTCACAGAAGTCTAATGGATAACTCGGGAAAGACACGGAGCGGCCATAGCGCTGCATGATAAAGCGCATGCTGTTCCTCTCTCGTGGCGGTCTGTCAATTTGCGTCTTGTTTGCATGCTCTTGTGGCCAATTGTTTTCATCGTGTCCATCATTACTGTCTACTCGCCCAAGATTGATGCAGGTGATGCCGTGAAAGCTGTAACTGACAAAGTTCTCAAACGTGATTGTGTTCGTCACTGGAATGGAAAGAGCCACTCTCGGGACGACGTCAGGAAGAAGCAGGCCATTGGTCTGTAGGTTTAGCACGTCACAGAGAACTAATCATGTGTTCTATGCCAATTTGCCGACCAAAATTGGGCCGAACACACGGCTCGAGTACCGCTGAAACCATCTACCGACGAAGTACTCAAACACAGTTAAGACAACCAGTCAGATTGGCCATATGCAGGTCAATGAACGAGGCTAAGATGAGTAACATCCACGGAAAAGTCACGTTGTGGTTCGCGCAAGGTCACGCTTCAAACTTGCGAAGAAGCTTAAGCCCCTCCCCAAGAGTGTCTACTACTCAAAACTACAGAATAAAGAACTGCCTTAGGAGTTTCTGAAAGAGGTAAAGGATAATCCCAGAAAAGACACTGTTGAAGCATGTGATACTGTGGAGGGATGTCGTTGAAGCATGTCTCCTACCATTCTGCTACCATCAGATTTGGATACAAGACTAAACGCACAAACGACCAGATCTCAGCACGTACTATACGGCAACCGTCGAAGCTTGCATCGAAGTTGGGGTTAAGGTCCGCCCTCATCGGCATCAGTCATCGAGATTCGTCAGAACCGACAAGAGCACGTACTGGGTTGAAGCAGCTGCTGTCGATCGCTCTGCATCGGCGTGATCAGAGAAGCTATGTGCACAACCATTGACGAGTTAATAGCAAATTTGGCGGGTGAGGTAGAAAGATCTGATCAGTGGAAAGACCATTTCGCAACTCACCTCAGTCACTCAATCCAGTATTCTCACACCAACTCGCGGCATCGAAAATAGTTGGCGAACAGTAAGCCCCTCTCCATTCCATTCTGTTGACCTCCTTCATTTGTGAGATACAGGCCGTAGGAAATCGCAAATCGCACCTGGTAAGCATGGTTTGACAATAGAGCTATATCATGGAAATCTGTCCGATTTTGTAGACTACTTGCAGGAACAGTTTTGGCATGATTAGTCTGCAGAGCGTGAATTGGCATACGGTCGTTCCTATCCTATTAAGTGACGTTAAATGAGACTGATTGACTTGAGACTGAAAACTCTTCCCAAGATTATTGTCTTGGAGGTACCAAATTATCCGTGAAGAGCGTACATGGCTAAATCTGACAAATTTTCGCTCCTAAACGGGGGGGATACATCGATCAAATATTGTTTTAGGCAGTTCTTGTATTACTAGAACTCCACAGATGATTTGGACAACCTACACTTAACTAGTAAACAGCAGATTTGAACTGAGTCGTTTTTAATAAACGTTCGCCACCCACCGCAGAGTTTGAGAGATAAATTCTTCACAACTGAAGCATTACATATTTCTGTGGCTGGTGAGGGAAAAGTCTCTACTAGGCAAACCTAAGTGTTGTCGACAGAATCATTGGTGGCTCTAATCATGGTGAAGCCTATGGCTGTTCACACGAGATGCTGCTCAATTAGCAACCATATCGTGTAGTTGGCAGATCATAAAACATCGGAATTCCTTGTTGGACTAGGAATTAATCCAAACTGTTAAACAGAGGTGAACACCGCAAAACAGTGAAGCATTTTGCAGGATAAGTCATAACCCTCTAGATGAGGACTGCTTCTGATTGTCAAAGTACTTTTAGGCGTCGTCTTCGATGCTGATGCGGAACTTTTCTCGCTCTGCTTCAGCAATGGACGTGATGAGAGAAGAGGACAGGCGCGAAAGAGAAGATTGACCGTTGCAGTGTTTCGTCGCGTGTGCTAAGTTTTCTTCTTCATGTCACAAAATTATTTGTCATGTACACGAGCAGTGTTGTATTTTTAAAATTTATATATGCGGCGTCACCGATGCTTGCGAATGACACATATAAAAGAAACACTGACCAGCAGTTTATTTTGAAATTAAACTTTAGAGTTGCAGTAGTTTACTGTATCGTACAAAACCCGGTAGCACCTCAAAGCTAGGTTCAGGTCTGTGCAGTGCGGAACGTGTCCGCGAAAGTCCTGCCAGGAAGGAAAGCGTCAGTTCGCCTCCTCTACGTCGAACACCTCTTCGCTAGCCAACGAAACGTTTTGATCATAAAACGGACTGTTGTTCCTTAAACGCAACGTGTCTGTCTGTATGAATGGCAGAACAGGCCAATGCAACACTGTGTACCTGCAGTAGTGACCGCTCTCTGACCATGACCGCTGCTTGGAGTCAGCCACGGTCAAGAAATGAGCATTCACCGGCGACACTGACTCTGGGCTGGTGGCGTTGGCTCTCGAGGAATGGCGCGACCGGGATTTGTTCCACGTAAAGTTGAGCAAATGGTGTTTGAACGAGTTGTAGCGCGGTTGCAGTTTCTGTTCTATTTCCGGTGACTCGGACGGACTGAAGGATTTGCACCGAACTCGTTCACTGCTTCGTCGGCGTATGCAGCTGGACGATTTTTCGATGCAGCCCCGATGCACCGCAATCCCACACTCCTGGCACTTGAGTCCCTGGCGTAAAAGTCCCCATAGCTAAAATGCGCGATGTTTTGAAAACAATATTTATGAGGCATTAAGTCAAGAGTTTCAACAAGGCTGATAGAATCAGTTTATATACTAACCTCAGAAATTTATAACATACTCAGAGTTCAAATACAACACAGTACAGCTTCAGAAGTTAACCTTTAACTAGTTAAAGCAGGTCAAGTCTGTATTGCCTTAATTAAAGAGATCTGATCTTTCGATCGCAATATATATTTACCATTATTTTGTCATCCCCAACTGTGAATATCAGAATTTCCGCACCACAGTAATTCAGGTTTATGATATCTGACCGCCTGAAAACTTAGAGACATTGTTTGTTTCAGTCACATTCAATGAAATATAGCAGATTTTGTATGAAAATCACGTCAGCTCAAACTCTGTAACAAAGGTTAGGGGGCACAATGCTATATTTAAAATCTTGGCTGCCTCCATTTGGTTCAGGTTCTGTCTTGGTAGGCTCTTTATTGCCCTGATGGCATTGAACACCACTGAAAATCACCTTCGCTTTTACTCTCCATATCTTTATTATGGCCACTCTCAATGATTGATCTTTCAGTATTTTTTTCTCCTTAGCAACCGCTAGCCCGGCATGGTATGCCAATGATTTGCGCCTGCCAATTCGCTTTGCCGACCAAGACCGTATGCGGACGATGATGTTTCCTCAGTGACTACTTAGAGATCCCACAACAATTTTACTTGCCTAGCCTCTTCCCCCTCTTTCGGCTGATGTTTCTACCATTTGCTTTGCTCTGCCACTGGTAAATTGGCTCATTGGCAGAAATGCCAGTAGACTGTCCTTACAGCGTTGTTGTGCCTCACCTTGCATTCATTCCCGATTCGCAAGATTTTCCGGCGAGAAATTATTATATGGATATGGATCACTGTCTCATAGTTCACTTGACAACTACGAAACCCTCTTCTTTTTCTTCATGGGATATATATTCCTTCCGTATCTGCTTTTGGATGTACCAACGCATGCATGTTCAAAATCTGCAGTGTGATTCTATCTAGTTCTATCCATTCTGCTAGTGATCATTCATCCATGCCTCCGTCATAAGCAATCGCTTGTACGGGATATAAGTTAATGGCCAAATTTTGTTCTTCCCACACAACTTGCTTTTCCAAGTCGCAGAATGTTTCCTTCTCGCATTCCGTAGTTTTCAGTAATTTCATTTTGTTCACGTGATCAATTGTCACATTCGAAGTATTTGAGCACACCGAGGTATTTGAGGACTGCCTTTCTTCAACGCTGTTTATTTTACCTACTGGAAGCGCCACTTCATCGCTTGTTCACATTTTTCTCTTCTTAATGTCAACCATAGGGCATTTATCAAACCTAAATTTTCTTCTGACACCTTACGAAAAGATTTGTGCTCTTCGGATCAGATTATCCAGCTCTTTAACCGATCTCGCGTCCAACTTCATGTCGTTCGTGTACAGCAAATGGCATATTATACTGCTCTCTTTCAATTTGTATCCTTTTCTGGTGCTATTCAACATGTAACTGAGCAGATTCAATGCCAGACAAAATAAAAGCGGTGAGATTGTGTCCCTCTGCAAGATTCCTTGCCTGATTTTCCCAAATTCCAGGAGGCGTTGCTACATAGCAGTGTTTGCCACTGAAACAACACTGCTACGAAGAACTTTATTACGCTGCCGCTGAAGTTCTGAAGTTCAGGCATTTCGGGAGCTTGTTCTGTGAAACCAAATTCAAGTAGCTGGTCTTTTGGTCGCCTTGATTCGTCCAACAGAATGTTTGTTCTGTAAATACGACGCCGTTTGCCTCGAGAAGCTAGTGAGGTGCACTGACTATTATTGAGGTCAGGAGTTTCCCGGTCGTTTGAAGCGCACGATCGGTCTGTCGTTATTCACATAGCCATATGGCTTGTTCTCGTCCTTTAGGACAACGTGTGTTACCTGTTCCATTGGCCAAGAAGGAGGTCCTCCACCAAGCACTTTTTTGCTAAATATTACCGTTCGCGAGTGCAAACACGTTAGTTGTTCAAACCACGGCGAATAGCCTGCTCCGAGCATGGTACTACTCAGATTTTCATATTTCTGAATTCTTTGTGTGCATTCTTTCCGGTGATTATGATCTGTATTTATTCACCAGTCCTTTTGCAATCTTCAATACTTTCTTCACTCGGCTAAATTCTTTGTTTGTTGGCCTTGTAGTTTTCTCTTGTCCTCCCCTATAACAGAATCGAGTTTTTAGGCTAAAACCATCGATCTCCGCATTTTTTTAGATTTTGTTTTTGCCTCAAATTATCTGCAGAAGACACGAGAATTTTGAACGGAATGTTCGAACCTGTTCGGGATTGTCAGGACCTTTGTCGCTCCAGCTGACAGTCCTACTGTAGCTTCCTTGCATACAGCTCTGGCGGTTTCATCTCGTCAAATTCTACACTTTGTCATTATTTTCGTCGTCGTTGATTTCTTCATGTTGCCCCTGTTCAATTATTGTAGTTATTTTACTTCTCCGTGCATTTTCTGCTTGTTCGTGGTTGTTTCTAGTCATGCTGGCTTTTCTTTCTCCAATTTGCATCCGGCTCATCCATCTTGAATTTTCTAGCTATCACAAAAGCCATCTCACATATGAAAGCATTGCTAGATTCAAAATCACTGTTTGGTATTCCCTTCATGACAGTGGGCAGCTTCGCTGATATATTAACACACACCATTTTTATTTTGGTCATACTCCATGAAACATTGCATCGTTCGCATGAACATCGCAGAAGCTCAAACCTCAACCAAGGAGCAGTAGTATTTTTCTTAAAACTCTGGCTATTCCTCAGAGGATCGACGCCTGCAATTTTTCTACGTTTATCACTTCATCAGTTGAACTTAGTAGCTATTGATCTTTCTTTCCGTTGTCCTGAGGGTACCGTTCACCGCAAGATTTATATTTTAAAAATACATTTGCTATAAACTGTTAATAAATATCACAGTGACTCGTAATCTAGCCGGTGTGACTGATTTAAGTACACATTCCTCGTTTCCTAGTACTAAGCCTATCGTTGCGGATATCTTCATGGTGTTCTTTATGCTCAAAATCCAGTTTTCTCAGCTTGACATCGATTTTGAGCCTTTATATCGTGGTCTTCTTGAACGGCTTGCCTCAGCGAAGTTCAAATGCCAGTCTGTATGTAAGCAAAATTTTAATATCGACGATCTTTATGTTTTGTAAGTGGTTGTTTCACGTATAGATTTTATCAGTCAATCGTGTACGCCTCGAATCATACTTGTTCGAAGTTAAATTCATAGTTTATCTTGACAGATTTTTATTAATCAAAGTCTAAATAGAATCTACCTTACCTCAGATATGTTTACTTCACTTTTTTCAGATATGTTCCTGAAATTTCTGTGTTTAATTCATCAGCACAAACGTTTCAATAAGTTGGTAAAGGCTGACCAAAGGCTTTGAACAAATATGCTCATTTATAGCAAACCCAAGTCGGTACAATGTTTGGTCGACGGTTGGTTAGATACCATGTAAGTTGTTGAGAAACTTTCCTCCTGAATTATCCTGGAGAAGCTGCGTCAGACAGCTGACGGGAGACTTCACCAAACTCAAGCCAAACTCATTCGAATGGGGTAATCATGATCCGATCAAATTTTACTTTTCGTAGTATTATTGAGCAATACTGACGATTCCAGTTGCCTTAGATTGTCGACTTTAAGACTGCATTTGATTCAGTATTTCTTCAGACTGTGTGGAAAATCTGAAAATGCAACCACAGACCGAATCATGTGTGCGCTGAAAATCGAAGGTGAAGTTTCTTACAAGTTCCCAGTTACCCTTTCTAAGACTCTCTAGGGAGATGTGCCATTGCCGTTGCCATTAAATATTGTTCTCGATTTTCCTTTCTGAAACAGTACCAACTTTAGCATAGGTGAAACTTTCATTCGAGTAGAAAGGCGCAGTACATGATTTCCGGTTAGATATTTTACTGAACATTACTATGTAGACGATGCTGTTTGGGTTACGGAAAACTGTTACTTGAAGGCTACCATATGCGCAAGACTGAATATGTGTTGACTTTCAAACGTCACAAATTACCAGACACACATCCGGGGCAGCTCTCCTAGAAGTGGAACAGCTATTCAAGAAGTTCGCCAATTTAAGTGCTTTGCCTCTATCATTGCCAACGATGGAACCATCTAACCATAGTTCAGCAAGAGAATCGCCCAAATCTCGAGTGCTACTAGAAGCCTTGCCAATATGTGGTTAAGAAAGGAGAAAGAGCATTTGGGCGAGGAGGCGTGGTCTGGCTGTGCGCCTATTCAACAAAATTATGGAATGTGAGAAAATGCCAGAATCATGGAGGCAGAATATTTTGAGGATGCCAATGCACAAAATGAAAGGGGACATACTGGGCTGTAAAAACTAACGGGGAATTAAATTGCTAAGTCACACTATGAAGGCATATGAGAAGATGCTGGACAAAAGACTGAGAAATGAGGTCGAATCACCACTAACCAATTTGAATTTACGCCACACAGATCAACCACTGATGCTATCTTCGCTTTTAAGATTGGTCCTCGAAACATGCAGAGGAGGCAGACAAGACATTCATATGGTGTTCTTACACCTGGAGAAAACCTTTGACTGAATCCCGAGGCAAGCAATCTGGTGGAGCATGAGAAAGAAGATTGTGCCAGAAAATTTTCAGGCTTACAAACGATATGTACAACAGAGTGGCAATGATAGTCCGAAGTACATGCGGCGAAACGGAAGAGTTTCCTGTGCTGTTGATATCCGCATTGATTTCTGTTCTCGATGGCGACAGACCCGATAACTGAGGATCTGCAGGAAGCAGCCCCATACCGCATGCTCTATGCAGATGACATTGTGCTATACAGCGAAAACAGAGAAGATGTGGAGTCAAAAATCGAGGCATGCAGAACAGCTCTTGAAAA